AAAAGGACGAGATGCTCTGAGGCGCGACGTTGTTCTGAGCTCAGAGTCGGGGCCATGTGATTTCAAGTTGGTAGCGGAGCCGTGTGGTTCCAGGCTCTGCTGCCTTCTTCGAATCACAGCTCTGTTCCTGTTATGCTGTGTCTCTTGGATGTCCGGGTACGACTCATTTGACAGCTACACTCTTGCTTACAACAGCCGTGTGACTGCAAACAACACAGAATGGTTTGACAGTGACACTACGGTGACGGGGAGACAAGCTCTTCTTGAAGCCGTGATCTCCAAGGCCTCTGCACAGGCCGATGTTTCGGTAAAGCAGTATGAGCATTTGCTAGACATTCTGAGTGCCAATGATTCGGCCGCAGATTTGTTGAAGCGCTTGAATGGTTCGGGTCTTTTGGATGAAAGGCAGAAGGCCACCTTGCATGCTCTGGAACTGCGTGAAGCACGGTCGGGGTACAAGGCGATTGCAAGATTGCAGAACAGCATTGGGAACAGGGTGTTCGGAGTCGGCAGCAACATTGAGGATGACTGGAACATCGATGCTGGAAGTCGTAAGCTAACAGTTGTTGACAGTGACTCAACTTCGGTTAGTCATCAGCAAAGCGGCATTCCCAGCATGAACTTGCATATCATACTTGACAAGTTGAAACGCGTGTGGCTTTTGCAGTTCAGTGTTCGACCTGTCTTGAAACGCAAGATGTTTTGCTTCTTTTTTATCTTAGTTGCTGTAGCCGGTATGATGAGTTTGACTGGCTGCATGATTCCTGGGTTCCAAAGAGGCAATGGCGGACGTCGAAACCACAGCCATGTTGGTGATGCCGGCCCGCCGTATGTCGGGACGGCGACCTTGAAGGTGCCACCCGCTTGGAGTGCTGAACGTGCTCACTGGTATTCCCTTCGAAGCTGGTTGTCGGATCTGATATTGTGGTCAGCTGCAACTGATTTGGAGGGTGCTCGACAAGGACCAGTGGCAGCACTGCAGATCAGCGGAGCTGCGAGGGATTTGGTCCGAGAGATTCCACCAAATGTCCTTCAGAATGGGCGCATTGACCCTCAAACTGGTGCTCACACATCTGGCTTGATGGTGTTGGCTGAAACACTGATTCAGCGCTATGCTCCACTGGATGCGGAAGTGGCCACTCGATCGGTAAGCGAGCTCATCAATATTCGTAAGATGCAAGGTGAAAGCACGGATGCATTCCTTGTTCGCTTCGACGTGTTGCGAAACAGAGCCGCGAATCGTGGTGGAATGGCTGTCAACTTTAGTGGCTTAAGTTGGATCTTGTTGAATGCCTTAGGTTTAGCGCCAGATCAGTGGGAAAGGTTGCTTTTTCACAATGAGGGACGCATGCCAGCTAATGGTGATGAGTTTAACCAGTTGATGGAACGGATTCGTAGGACTGGCCACATGTATGAAGGTCATATGAACCATCGTACACATCACCAAGGTGCCACGGGAGATACTGGACTGTACTTTCACCAACCAGAGAATGGTCCCGGTTCAGCCTATTTCCCAACCTTCTCGAGTGAATGGCCAAGCACAGGTTCCTCATCCAATCCGTTTGCACCAGCAGCACAGAGTCCGTTTGTTGAGAGCCAAGCATTCGTTGGTACTGCCCATATGCCGTCGCAGGATGCACATGTGTCTCAAGCCGCAGGTCTGGAGAGGATTGTGTCAGGACACGCAAGTCAGTCCTTTGTTTCCAGTGCTGATGATGAATGGTGCCAAGCATGTGGCATGTACTTTGAAGACGATGAGTTTTCTAGTGCCACGGATTCCGACGATGGTGCTATTGACCCAGATGCTGCATCGTCGTACCAATACATCAGCATAGATGGACACACCAGATCAGATGATTGTGCCTTGGGAAACGCAATATACTTAGATTACCTGGTCGCAAAGCGCAGGTGGCGTAGGTTCAGTGGAAAACCCCCAAGACGATATAGAAGGTTTACCACGAGGCATGACATTCGTCATAAGCAGAGATCCAGACTGTCTCGTGGGCCGTATGCCCAAACCTTTGCAAGTTTCCTTCCACCCAATGCTTTTGCTGGTGGCCAAGGCAAGGGGAAGGGAAAAGGAAAAGGGAAAGGGTTCAGAAAGAATCCAAAGGGCAAGGATGGTCGTGTTTTGCTTGTGGTTCTGACACACATCTATGGAGACTATGCCCTAAGTCTTCGAGTGCAGGCAATGGCCAGAGCAGCTCGCCGCCATCCATGGCAATGTTGACGAGTGTCTTGCCAGGTGTTTCGTTCAATTATATGACAAACGATGCCGCTGAGCACCTGTCGGCCCCAGATTCATGGACAGGTGTTGCGCAAGATGTTCACCGTAGGGTCCCTGAAGAGTTTACCATTGCATCCCAATCCGGCAGCGGCCTTAGCAGCTCTGGATATGATGTTGAGTTGGAAAGCTTGCGATCCGTCGCAACATCCAACCAAAGCAAATCCAAACGTATTGATAAGAAGGACTCCAAGTTTCACCCGTACGGAACGAGTTCGCCAGCCGTGTCTTCGCCGAGCCAAGCACAGGTTTCTTCGGCCCGCACAGATGCAGTTGAAACAGGTAAAGCAAGACAGGTTATGTCAAGTCCCATGGTTGAATCGTTCATGCAAGGGAACCCTCGACTTAGCAGTGTGTTTGGTTCCCAATCGTCAGCCAGTGGTTCGTCCAGCATGTTTCCGTTCTCCTTCGTGCAAGGCAGTGTGGCAATGACCAACGCGCCAATTCTTCAAGGCTCAAGCGCTGCTGTCGAGTTGGAGCAATCGAGTCACGAAGAGGAACAGGAAGAAGATCATCCTGGTCCAAGTCAGGTTGAGCATGCGGATGAAGCCCGCAATTCGCCTGCTGCGAGTCCGATGTACCACACACCAGAGCGTTCGTCAACTCGCTACGGATCTGCAGCGTCAAGTCCAGCATATCCGTCAACGAATACTCCACCAGCTGCGCCGACACCTGGCGCTCCCCAGAAGCGTCGGTTGAATTTGAGTGAGTTGCTTGCTGAGACTGAACATCATGAATATCCATGGTGGGAAAACATGGCCGGGAGCAGTTCACCGCAAGCAGATCCAATGGCGTATCATGTTCGCGCCAGAGTAGATGGCAAGGTTGGCTTGTTGGTGGATCCTGGTGCTCATGACAACCTCATCGGCAGTGAAACATGTGAGTTGATGGCACGGCAGCTGGGCTCCAAGGCAGTGTCCAAGTCGCTTGATCGGCCCATCATGATCAGTGGTGTTGGCAAGAACTCACAAAGTGCTGATAGCTCTTCCACTGTTGATTGCTGTTTTCGAACCATCGACGGTCAGGTGATTCGTGGAACGTACACTGCCCCAGTTGCGCCGGACAGTTCACTGCCACCTCTCCTAGGCCTCAAATCGCTGAGAGCAAAAGATGCCGTGGTTGACACCAAGACTCCAGCGTTGATTTTGCCAGGGCCGGGAGGGATTGAATATAGGTTGAGTCCGGGAAGCCGCATCCGTCGACTTGAAATGAGCGATTCTGGCCATTTGATCCTGCCACTGAGTTCGCCGGGGTCTGACGCGAGCGGTTCGTCGTCCGATAATAAGCTGGATTTCGTGATGCAGTGTCGACGTAATCGATCGGTCAGTCGCAGTCCAAGTCCTGGTCATGACCCGCAGTGAGAGCAGCTCGAGTTCGATTGCAGGCATCAAACGCAGTCTCTGCAAATGCACAGGTTCGTTTGAAGTCGCCTGCCTCGACCTCAGCTGCACAGGTATGTGACCCAAGTCGAAAATCCACAAGGAACAACGCTAGTTTAGACTTCTTGAAATCAGCTGCCAATAAAAACGACGACAGCCAAAATGGTTCTCTAGCCCAACAATCTGTTTGGGTTGCAAAGTTGGCTTCTGAATCCTTGTTTCAAAGTCCAATTGTTTGGATTGTAAGTGATGTCCAAGGACTAAGACAACATTCGTTCTCGAATCTTGGATGTCGTGTCATCTCAATATGGTTTGGTCTTCATTCCAAAGGTAAGCTGCAAGCAATGCTTAATTCTCTCCAAGATCAAAAACCTATTCTGCTTTGGATTCGACTGCATGGCCCGTGTGTGGGATCAGGCAATAGACACGACGCGTCCAGGTCAGCAAACGTTGCACAGCTGATTTTCAGGCAAGTCAGCCTCGCTGGCTTGGTAGTGATGGAAGCCAATCTTCAGGCGTTTAAGCCCTTTCAAGATGGATTTGTAAGTGCTCTTCATCAGGCGTGCTGCTTCTGCGCTGTTCCTAGATCCAATGTGGTCATTCGCACGCTGTCCAACTTTGACATAGGTTCCCGTGAATGTCAATGTAGTTCCGAAGTTGAGCATATTTCTTGGAAGACTTTATCGCAGCACTCTCAAGACGTGATGAATAGCATCATCTCGTCTATAGCGCGTGAAACAATGCGCAATGTGACGCCTGTCCATGGCAGTGACGGCCAAGATAGGCAACCTGAACCAAAGAATTTGATGCAAGCGCCCGTTCATTCCAATTCGCTGCAGCCTGAAGAACAATCACCGCTTCGTGTTTCATCACTGCATGCCTCGAGCAAGTACAACCAACGACGTAGTAAGTCCGCATCTCATGGCACTCATGCCAAAGCTGTTCGTTTCACAGATAACGTCGACGACCTGAACCAGGCGGATTCCATGCCTGAAGTGCGAGCAGCAAGCTCAAGTCCAACCATTCGACCAAGTAAATCTCAAAATCAGCTCGGTGATAAGTTTCATCAATCACGACAACAACAAGTAATCAAGAATCAACAGTCAGTTCTTCTTCATAACTTGGTTGATTCCTTGATTGATTTTTCCAAGCAAACTACGCCTAGCGACGCATCATCACTGCAACGAAAGGATCTCCGACCACGCGAATCACAATCTCACAAGAGCAATAGGATTGATGCGATTGCAACCAGTCAGATTGTTGCAGATTCCCATGACTTGCAGCATTCTGTACCGGTTGATTCTGATCGATGCCATTTTCCAACTGAAGACGCAGAGCGCGCAAAGCAAAGAAAGAAAGAAGGCCATGTTCCTGTGAAAAGAAAGAAAGACCTTGAGATTCACCATGACGACTGTGGTGAGAATCTCGATAGCATTCTTCCTCATTTGTTTGAAGTACAACTTGAACGATATAAGAAAACTGCCGAAACTCGACAAGCGCAGTTTGAACACGATCTGTTTGCCTTTGCAGCAAGTTCGTCAAGTGGTAAGTCAGCATGTAAGGAACTAAACACGAGTACATTTGTTGCTTTGATCAACTCATGGTCTTCTTCAGAAAGTGTCGATATTGTGGAGCTGTTTGGTGGTGATGGTTTAACATCACGAATTCTTGCAAAGCGCTTTCATTTTCGCTCAGGTCAAAGCACTTGCAGGATTCGACATGTCAAATCCCAGCGACATCGCTTGTTTATGGCAGTATATCAAGCAACACAGGCCGTATGTTGTTGTTATGGCTCCTCCTTGTGGAGGATTCGGCCCGTGGACGCGCCTGAACAGAATAATATATCCCAAAACGTATCATCAAACCAGACAAGCAGGAATCGGGTTTTCTAAGCTGTGTGCCTCCATTGGAAGGTTTCAACGTTGCTGTGGCAACCATTTTGTTGTTGAACAGCCCTCTCAAAGCAACATGTTTGACCTTGACGAGTGGAATGAAGTGCTGAAGGACACTTTTTCTTGCCAATTTGACCAATGCAGACTTGGCCTTAAGCAGTCTAGTCCTCCGTTTTTGCCTCTATTGAAGCCTACTCAGATGCGTTCAACCCATGAAACTATGTTGAAGTATTTGAAAGGTCTCAAGTGTAATAACATGCACCCGGAACATGGTAAGGTCAACCAATCCTCACAGGTGTGGCCTGTTGGTTTGTGCAGCAGATTAGCCAGAGGAATTGCTGAAGCTTTGATCGAAGATGGCTCATTTTTCTTTCCGACCTATGAGTGTCCTGGTTGCAGAGGACATGTTCGCAGCAGTGACACTAGACACACCAGAGGACCAGATTGCAAGTTTCCAAATGTCGAACCAATGTCTTGGTCGTGTCCCGCGTGTGTGAAGAACCGGCATCGATCTCACTCTAGTCACACGCTTGGTCCTGATTGTCAGTGGGCCATAGCAACCACCAGAAGTGAAGGTGCCAGGAAACATCGTACGGGACATCATCCTAGGGATCCGATAGTTAAGGCATCTGGTGAGCCCACTAGTTCGTTGAGGGTTGATCTCAAGAGTGCTGATGCACCATCTCTCGCCGACCGAGGCATTGAACCTGAATCTCTGTCACCTGAAGAAGCAGCAAGGCGTAGAAAAGACAAGTCGCTGTCTGCGACACCAGTGCCTCCAGCGACATCACTGCCTTTGACTCCAAAACCGCTTTCGATAGCGCCCGGACCGCCCGGAACTCCAACTCCGGGAACTCCTGGTGGAACTACCAAGAGACGCGTTGATGCGTCCACCCAAGCTGATACCCCGGAATCTCGCGTAGTTCCAGCTGATGCTATTGGTCCATCCGTTGAAAAAGAGGAGTCTGAAGTTGCGGAACCTTCATGGAGTCAACATGACCTAGGCGCAGTTCTTCAACAGTTGAAGAGCCTCAGGCCGGGTATTGTTCGCCGTGCATTAAGAAGACTCCATATCCGTTGGTTTCATTGTAGCGCCTCTCGCATGAAAATGCTGCTCACAGCCGCCGGTGTGAAGCCAGATATTTTGGAACTAGTGGACGAAATAGTAAACGCATGTTCAATATGCAGAATGTGGGCTAAGCCTGGACCTCGTTCAATCGCAAGTTCTAGCCTGAGTACTCGATTCAATGAGTGTGTGCAAAACGATTTGCTTTTTGTCAAAGATTTCATAATCTTGCACATGATCGACTGTTGCATCCGATGGTCAGCCGCTTGTGTAGTAAAGAGCAAGCATGCAGAAGTGCTGCTGACCGCAATGGATCAGCTTTGGTTTCGTGTCTTTGGCTCGCCGCAAGAGCTGGTTGGTGACAGAGAGTCGGGCATTGCACTGCCTGAGTCCAGTGCAAGGTTCTTGGAAGTTCGTGGAATTAACCTTGAAGGCACGTGGACAACATGCATCTTTAATAGAGCGTCACAATGAGATTCTCCGACAACAGCTCCATAGATGTAATGAGCAAGCAACAAGTGATGGGTTGAAGGTTGATTTTGAAAACATCCTTTCAGAGTCCCTTTTCGCCAAGAATTGCTTGTTGGTGCTCGGTGGCTACACCCCATATGAAGCACTGTATGGTCGCACACCTCCTCTTTTGAATGTCATGGATGTTGAAAGAGGTGATCCTCATCACAGGAAGAAGATGCAGCCAAGCTTCGTGTAATTGCCGTAAGTAGTATGGTGCAGGCAACTGCGCGAGCCAAGGCCCAAAGAGCGGAAAACTCAAAGACTCGTTTGAGCGGTGAGCTTCTCGAACTGAAACCTGGGGATTTGGTAGACTTCCACCGTCCACCAGCCACCAAAGACCATTCTGGTTGGATGGGACCGGCAGTTGTTGCTGATGTGACGCCAATTCCTCAAGGAATCATCGCTGTTCGATGGCAGGGTAGGACCTTGGATTGCAGGATTCAAGACATCCGTAGAGCCTTGGTGTATCCTGTGTTTCTAGCAGTTCACTCCAGTGATTCGCCTGTCATGATCCTTCGAATGGCTGTTGAGAGTAGTTTTGGGTCATGTACACGTGTTGGATGGTTCAAACAACAAGGCAATTGGCAGGCGTGTGAAGCCAATAAGACTTCAGCCAAGGTCCTGCTCGCAGGCCTGTATGTTGCCGGTGTTTGCCTCAACCTCCAAGGCGCAGTTGGATTTCGCTTTGGCCGCAACATCAGGACAATTTCCGCTGTCCAATGCGACGACTCGTTCATCATGTGGTGGACTGCAGGAGATCAATCCTGTTGGCATCATGCATTCCTGCCTGCGACTTCGCACATTAATCTCGTTCGCTTGACAGGTCTGGAAGAATCGAAGTTGTGTTTCGTGCAATACTTCATGTTGGATTCACAGGCAGTGTCTCAACTTCGTGTTGTAGTCTCTGACATTCCAAATTTTGGAGGCCCATATGAACCTGACCTTCCAGAATTGCGAGAGGCTGAAATGCCGAATGACAATCGCAATGTTCGTAGGATCAGAAGTATTGCCGACGGAGCTGTAAGTAATGAAGTTGCCAATACTCCAAACGCAACGTTTGACGAACAAGATCTAGGCGATGATAACGAAGAACTACTGACATATAATACTCAAGACGAATTGCGTTCCATTGTAGGACAAGGAACTCTAGATGTTGAGTCTGCAAGCGCACCACCAGTTGCACCCACCGTGAATGCATTCGTTTCCGACGAAGTTTATGTCATTCCAGAAGACGACTCAGAATCAGAATCAGCAGAGTTGGTTTTCACAAGCAGTTCGTCTCAATATTTAACTAACGCACCCTTTGTTTCAAAAGACCATGAGTTAGCTTTTGAATACAACAGGGAAGAACTGCCAACCGCTGTGATTCAACGCGTGAATCATCTAATCTCCAGAGATGAAGCCTTGCAACATGTTTCAGAGTGTAGAGCTGCCATGATAAAAGAACTAGAACGTTGGAGTCGCCATAAAGCATGGCAAAGAAGACCTCGTGCTGGTTCTCAAAATGTCCTTCAAAGCCGTTGGGTTCTAAAGTGGAAAAATATGCAAGGCAGCCGAGGAGTGAAAGCCAGATTGGTTGTCCAGGGTTTTCAAGACCGTCAGGAGACCCAGACGTTCGCAGGCACATCTTCGCGATGGGGACAACGCCTGCTGTTAATCCTAGCCACACAGTTTGAATGGGATCTGCTTTCTCTTGATGTTTCAGAAGCATTCCTTCGTGGAATCAGTTTCAAGGAATTGCATCAGGACGATCCGTCCAAACCGCTTCGACAAGTTCAACTTAAGCTGCCACCAGGTTGTGGCGTTCTCTTTCGCTCTCTTGGAGGAATGGAAGACTTTTGTGAAGAAACGGAGGTTCTCGAGATGTTGAAGCCAGGATTTGGATTGAAAGATGCTCCTAGACTTTGGAACAAAGCATTGCGCAAGGTGCTTGGTATCATTGGTGTTCGTGCAATTGCCACTGACAACCAGCTCTACGTTAAACATGATAGCAAGGGAGTGTTGATTCTTGCGATCTCAGTCCATGTGGACGATCTCAAACTGACGGGCATAGTCACTGAAATGTTGAGAGCCAAGAAAGTCTTGGAAGATCACTTTGATGAGTTAAAATGTGAATCAGGTTCTTTTGAGCATTTGGGTCTAGCACATTCGTTTGCAGATGGTCGGTGGTCTGTCGACCAATCCCACTATGCCAAGGAACTCAAACTCATTCCTGAGTCAGATCTTCGTTTGCACCCTGACGACTTGGCAAGTGCAGAAGTTGCCAAACTCTACATGAGTCTTCTAGGTGGCGTAGCGTGGCTCGCCCAAACCAGGTTAGACATATGTGTATTTGTAGCAGCTTTGCAAAGGCGATTGAAGTCACCACGTGGACAAGATGTCATTAACCTCAATCGCATCGTAAAATACGTACAAAAGAACCCTCTCAAATTGATGTACTCAAAGGTCCCTGACCCCTGGAAAATGTTAGCCATTTCAGATAGCAGCTATCAGTCCAAAGACGGAGATGGCCTCGCTATGCGCAGCGGAATTATCGTTCTCACCAACAAAGAAGGTCTTAAGAAGGGGAATAACATAGTCCAGCTTCTCGAATGCGTATCTCGCAAACAATCTCGTGTGCGCCGTAGCACTTACGCAGCAGAACTATACTCGGCACTTGACCTCATTGGAATGGGAATCAACATAAACTTAGGTTTAACTGAGGTGTTAAGTGGCATACGAACGGCCAGTGAATTAGCCGATATCCTCGAACGTGGACAAAATCTCATTCCACTCGAGTGTGTAATCGATGCTCGTTCGGTACTAGACTCGGTGAGCCAAGAAGAGGTGAAGACACCAAACGACAAAATAATGTTCATACACGCACTTAAGCTTCGTGAACACCTCGACCGAAACCAGATCAGTCAGCTCACTCTTGGATAGACACTCGTGACATGGTGTCAGACGCTTTGAACAAGGGGTCGATCAGTAGGGATGCTCTCAAACTCTTGATGATGCAGTCAGTGGTCAGAATTTGTCACGAACAGGTGAGCATTCGTTCTCCTCCACAGACATCACTCGACGGCCCAGTAGAACTGAAAGATAGGCAACCTGAATCAAAGTGTACACCATCCTATATACCTCCTCACACCAGTCATCAG